CTTCCGATATTCGTATCCGTGAACCGACACGCGTATCTGACCCTATAACCCCCATTTCATACACGACATGACGAAAATTTAGTAGCCGCTCAAGTGACCACAAGATGTGAAACATAGATAAAGATGATTTCGGGAATATGAAAAATAATGGAATGCTTTAATTTGTCACTTTATTGGTTGATGAACTTTAATTGAAGCAAAACTTAGATGTAAATGCAAATATTTTGTTGATCTCGTATGCATTTAATGTATTCATTCAATTGATCAGTTCATATTTTTATTTTTGTATAAAATATGAGAAAATATGTTTTTATACGGGAAATAGAAGTTTTTTTGCTTTTTAAACGGACCGACATTATTTTTCGGTTTAAAACTGTTTTTTTACTCAAAAAACGGTATATCAGTACACTATTTTTTTTGTATAAAAGAATATGTTTGTAAAATAAAATGGCAGATACGTCCGGAGTACTCCCTCCGTATCAATTTAATTGACCCATTTGCTTTTCACGCAGTTTAAGACAATTACTGTAGACTTTATTAAAAGTAAGAGGTTTTTGGTACTGTAGCGACACTGTAGCTGCTTTTTGAATGAGATTCTTTCCAAATAGGGAAATGGGTCAATTAATTTGATACACCAAAAAAGGAAAGTGGGTCAAGTAATTTGATACGGAGGGAGTAGTATTTTGGAACAGAAAAAAATCACGGTGCTCAGACACGCTAATTTCATCCGGAGAGCAGAGGCGGGCGACCCAAATCACCCAAGTGCGTGATAAACTAATCATTGCAACCGTGTGTGATGCACCAGCCGGGAATCGAACCCGGGTCTGTACCGTGGCAGGGTACTATTCTACCACTAGACCACTGGTGCTTGTTGTTACAATTAGCCTACTTTGGAATATTATTAAATGGCCGCTTTCAGTCCCCTACAAAGTGATAACTCGAAGTAATACATGGATTATTTCAGTTGCGTTTTGACTGCTCACGTTCTTATCCTTTTTACTTCTGAATTAAATTACTGTCTCCTTTTATAAGTTTGATTGAGTGTATAAATGGTGAATATTTATAATTACATAAATCTTCCATTTAAATATACATTATTAAAAATGCATCATTTAAACCATATTAGGTAATACTCGGTGAAAAAACTAATGAGGGAAAAAGATTAAAAGAGTACATAAATCATTTTTTTTAAATTAAATCGGCTTAGATTAATAACCAAAAATTTGGGTCAACTGACAGAAAGAAAGCTGATAACCATTATCCCTCGAACCAGACTCGGAATTAACCGCCGTAGCAATATAATTCGCTGATCCATAACCGAGAAACAAAAAGCCTAACACGATTATCCAAAATCTACGTCTTACAAACCAGAACAGGAAACCAGAAACAAAAACCAAAACAAAAACAATAATTGTTGTAAAAGTAAACAAAGCAAAATAAATAACACCCTTGTCACCGCGAGACAACCCGAACCAGCCCTCCAGGTTGCAGCCTCACACCTTCAACCAATATTTGGCGGGCTTAAGGAACAAAGCCCGCCTCCTCCCCGTTTTTGTCCCATCTGTGACCATAGTATCCTCCTCATGCTCTTTCTCTGTCTGAGTCTCCCAAATCTTTCTTCTTTTAGAGAACTCTTCCTTTGGCTCTTTCCCTCCTTGTGTGAAACTTTGAGCAGATTCTGTCCTTGCCACTTTCTCCTTTTCTGGCATAGTTCCTTCCGGCCTGGGTGCCCCTGGACCGCTACCCGTTCTGCCAGAGCTCGATGAGCCCTCCAGGAGTCAGGATTGCCCTCCTGTCGGGCTTGTCTTCACCCCGTCACTTGCTCTAAGATAAGATCCATATCTTTTTTCCAAAACCAATCCTTCTTATAATTCAGAGGACATAAATTATCTGAATGTCCAACCAAACCACATATGAAGCAAAAGGTGGGTAGTCTTTCATATTTGAAATCAACCCAAAAACTTTTACCATCTTTTTCAGATTTCTCCCCTTCTTCAGTGATTTATCCATCTTCATAAGGATCCTAACTCTCATATGTGGCTCTAACTTTTCTTTTTCCTAATTATCATCATATTTAACAAATTCTCCTAAGAAACTCCCAACACGTCTGGCAGTACCCAGATTAACTAAACTGTCGGGGGACATTTTGGACCTGAACCCAAAACTCAGCCTCATTCAAAACAATTTTGTGTGGTATATCATCAGGCATAATTTCTTTAAGTAAAACCAGACTACGTTCATATTGCCAAGGACCTCCATCCAGAACACGCTTCATATCAAAACGATGGTTAAAGGAAAATATATACCTTTTCCCCCAATTTCTTTAACTGACATACCTTTTCCTGGCCTCCACAGTGTAAGCATCAGATCCTTTAGTTCCGAGAATCAGACTTTGCGATCCGTCAATACCTGCCCGATCACGGGAAAACCCGATGCTTCCTCCTCCACCGGTTCGCCTTCAAGCTCTCCTTCGTCGAGATTTATCTCTTCCTCGTCTTCCCCGATTGCCATATGCCTATATCGGTCAACCACGTTTTCCATGAAAGGGAACTCTTCGCCGAACCGTACACCTTCAAAGGAATCGGCCGCCAGCTCGTTACCCTATCCCCGACCGACCAAGAAGTCTGAATAAAAAGCCAACCTCACCGCCCTAACCACCAACCCGAAGCCGTCACTCGTCAAACGCCTGCAACCCACCGCTCTTTAATTTCAACCAATAAACTCGCACTTTGTAGAAACGAAGGCGGACAAAACTAGACTAAGGGCTAGCAGCCGCTAACCTTAGAGAGAGACGCACGTCTACGAAGCTTTCTTTTAAAGAGTACATAAATCGTTAAGTGCAATTAAAAAGTTCTACCTCATTAAAAGTTTGGTCAAGAAAAACCCTACGATATAATAATGGGATAAAACTTTGGCAAACGAAAAACAGTACAACGTGTATTTATCATACGATTGGTCCATATCACTATTCACTATTTATTTGTGTTTAAACTACCTAACTGTTTACCATTTCTATTAGTTCATCCTAATAATGTACCACATTTTTGCAAGTGACGAAGAACTTGCCTTGTGAAAATGAAGATAGTTGAAGTAATTATTTTCTCATAACAATATGCACAAAAAGGGCAAACCTTCGTTTCTGGACACACTAACAACATATTGACAATAAAATAAAAAAGGGCAAGCTTTAATGTCAAAGTTAGTTTTTGCATAAATAAAGAAAAAGTGTAGTTCGAAAAATTCAAAGTCATGCATAGATTTTATAATCAGGAAAAAGGTAAAGGTACCCCAAAATGGGTACCCCATTTGTCCACCACCCTATTGGGTGACCACAAATGAGCCAACCCATTTAAGTGGTGCCGGCCACAAATGAGCCAACCCATTTAAGTGGGGCAGCACTTAAATGGGTTGGCTCATTTGTGGCCACCCAATAGGGTGGGGGACAAATGGGGTACCCCATTTTGGGGGTACCTATAGCAAAACTGTTATAATCATGCTTCGAGTACACGTTTTCTATACACATCATTTTATACATCTCTCCAATTGTTTGTGTACGAATAATTTTTCATTTGTGAAGAGAATTACTTTTTGTAAGACATTTTTTTTCACAAACAAAAAAATTTGTCGGCATAAAAAACAATTATGTTCTTAAAACGAAAAAAACTATTTGTCAAAAAAAGTTTACAAATAAGGAGTAGCATTTTTCCTAGATCTTCATAGTAGATTCATAGTCAGAGGCGTTGCAATCTTCAATGCAGACTTAAGAGCAAAAAGGCAAAAGGGTCAAACGACCCTCGAACTAACTTAAAAAATGTAAATCACCACTTATATAGGAGGCTCTGTCTGGCCACCGCCATTTGGGGAATTCCCGGTGGATTTTTTTGATGAATAATCTTAGCATTTTCTTCTTTAAGTCTAGTTTAATCATACCAAATTTCAGCTAAAAATTTAATCGGGAAGGCAGTCAAATGTATTTTTGAAGATAACTGTGCAGCTAAACAACGCAGTCCATTTCAGAAAATCATTTGACTGCCTTCCCGGTAAAATTTTTATCTGAAATTTGTTATGGTAAACTAGACTTAATGAAGAAGATGCTAAAAAAATTTCATAAAAAATTCTACCGGAAACCGCCCAAATGGCGATGGCCGGACAGAGCCTTCTATATAGCACTTTTTAATTAGTTCTAGAGCATATTTGACTAGGGGTGAGCGCGGTATGGTCTGATCCAATATTTGACCGAACCCGTACCCGTACCATTACTATTCAAACAGTTCGGTTCAGTCCGGTCCTAGACCTAAACCCATTCGGTACGATTTTATTTTCAAACAGGAAAGTATAATGCCATATCAATACCAAATAATGTCATTTTTTCAAGTGTTTAAGGGGAAACCAAAGTTTAGCCATCCTCCAAAAAGCCACACATTTTTATCAATTTTCATACTTCCTCCGTCCCAAATTGATATGCAAAGTCAATATTTTTTGATCAACCAATGTTAAAGTTAAATCCTCTTTATTGATAATTAATTCAATTCTTTAACAATTAAAATTTACATATTCAAAAACTACATTAAAATCTTTTTAAAGTTGCATACTCGAAATTAAATATAATTAAAATTTGACATCCTAATCAAGTGAATAAAATGAAACTATTTAACCAAGAAAAGTTAATTTTGCAAATCAATTTGGAACTGAGGTAGTATTACATAATTAATAAATCTCAGATAAACTATAGCGGTACTAATTTAAATATTTAAACCTTACATCGATCCGGTTCCAGACTTCCTATGAACTAGCAAAGGCGTTGAAAGTATGAAAGTACTAGTCAAAGTAATGGTATAAATGAAATTTTAATTAAATATAAATACTTCGGTCCGATAGCGGTTCTCATTTGATGAGAACCGGTCATGACATTGTTTAGGACCGGTACGGTCCGGTTCTGTACCATTCAGTTCAGTACCATGGAGGTTAGGTAATTTTGCCCGCAAAAAGGATGTACAAGGTAAAAAAGCAGACGACAACAATTGTGACGGCTTCCTCTGTTCTCGCCGCCATCAACTCAAAGTCTCAAACACCTTTGTTCTTCTTCCAATGCTTGACGATTTTCTTTCTTTCATTCATAACTTCCTCTCTCTTCAATCTGCATACAAATTATACTCATGCTCTCAGGTAAGCAAAACTCGCCTTTAGTAGAATGTTCTCCCGCATTGGGTGCTTTCGTTATATATTCAGAATTCAATCTTTAAATGATATATCGCCTCGTATTATACCCAGGAGTATGTATTTCTGGAAATCTTGATTTTAATGACGGATATTCTGGTACCTTCCTCTGTGCATTTAGTAAAGATATATGGAGTAGAGTACTTTTTAAGCATTTAAAAATGTAACCTTTCTTAATACTAGCACTGTTAAAATATACGGAGTAAATTTTTATGATATTATACTGATATTTGTAAAATATATTCAATGGGCTAACAGATGTCCGCATAAAGTAACTTGTTTGTAACACGTTTTTGGGTAGATTACATGGGAAATTAGTTTGTTTGATTTAAGATGACTCTTTTTCGGGACATCTTTTCAAACATGCCTCTTTCTTAAGACTTAAGGAACATATTGTGTCCAAGTTTCCATATGGATAGCATATTGTTGTGGTTTCACTAAGGAGTTTTATGATTTAGATGGTAAGAATGTTATTTGAAGAGTTGTAGTTGAAATGTTATCTAGTAAACTCAGTGTGTTTCATAATTTAGTGAAAGAAGTAGACCTTATGAAGTTGCACTTTCTTTGAGTGTTTCTTTGGGCTACCAGCATTTTCAGTGTTCATAAAAATGTGCCTAACCAAACTCTCTACTTTTGCTTTGAATTTAAGGTTCTCATTCGACTCCTAGGTAATTTTCCCTTGTTAGAGGATGACTTGTTTGCATCAGACACGTTTGGCGCATAGTAGCTCCTAAAGACAAACTTCTCATGCTTATGGTATCAGACAGCACATACAAGATGAAGAGTTTTGGTCGTTGGTATGTTCTTATGAACTCTGTTTTTGACTGAACTCTTTCCTTGCACAAGTGTGAGTGTGACTAAACTTTTTTAAATATAGTGCAAATCCTAAACAATCAAATGAAAAGAACAGGCTTATAGTCACAATCATTTCTGGAGCCATTTTCGGGTTCTTGATTGGAGTGTCATTTCCTTCACCCTCATCTGTAAAGGTAAGGTTGTGTTATCCTTCCTCTTGACCCCTTATTAGCACCAGTCATCTTCAACTAGCATATTTTTTGTCGCAGCATTTGCAGCTTATGTTATAGAAAGTATTGTTAATAACAAAACGGGAAAGAAGGGGAACTCTACCAGTGAGATTAGCTACTCAACAGTCCTTCAATTATTTTTTTGTAACTAATACTTTTAAGTCACTAATTGTATGACATATATGTACTTTTTATTTTGGACTTCCTCTTTCATATTTTGTAAACATAGTCCCTCACTTGGTATAACTGAGATGCAATTGATCTCTCTTGTTAAAATCACCATTTATCATTTGAGTTTAAGAGGCAGTATAGTATGAATGCTGAGAATGCCCACATAAATCCTTCTCTGGTGCAAATGGCATTTCAGTAATAGAGGCTAGTTGTATCTACACTAAACAATGGAGGGACTAAATTATAAAAAGTTGAAAGTCATGTCTTAGATTATACAGTTTCAAACAATAGGGGGACTACAAAGTGTGATTCCCTTTTCCAAATGGGGGACTGTAAGTGTGGGTTTCTCCTTCATTTTTGTTAAATCTGTTGGGAAGTTACTTTTATAGACAACATACTGTCTTCTGCATTCACAAGTAAACCTGCAAGGTGAAATAGTTGACCCTTTATGTATATTCAAGCTGCAGCAACTTGATTTGTTACCATAAAGCATTATTATTAGTATTAGATCATGCTTTCCTTGATCAGATTTGGGTTTCATCAAACCCAAGAGGAGCAGAAAGATTACCTCCAAATATCGTTGTGTCTGAGTCAGACTTCCTTCTCCGCAGGTTATGGGGTAAACCCAGTGAGGCAAGTCATTCTGTTAATACCACAACTTCATTTGCTTCCCCTTTCTTAAATGATTCTTAACTTAATAATAAGATTCATGCTTCAACCTTCAATGCATTTCGGTTTATGTATATTGGTTAATACTTATAAAAACTTGGGAAAATGGAAATTAATAATCCAACCTTTTAGCAGTCTTCTTACAATAGGCCCACCTTTTCGTTATTCAAGAACAATCCAACCTTTGCATCCCATCTTCATTCGCTGGTTTCTGACCGGTTAATGATCTGTTATTCCAAGTTATTTTCTTATTTTTGCAAAACATTATCTTTGTGAAAGGTGAGATTTATGGTATAATGGTTTGCAAAGATAAGAAAATAACTTGGAATAACAGGTCATCAACCGGTCAGAAACCAGTGAATGAAGATGAGGCGCAAAGGTTGGATTATTCATGAATAACGAAAAGGTGGAACTATTGTAAGAAGACCGCTAAAAGGTTGGATTATTAGTTTCCATTTTCCCTAAAAACTTTCTGCTTTTAAGTTGTGCAAGGAAAACATCTTTCTGATTTCAAGAATGTGCAAAGAAAACATGTCAATAGTTCCTGTAATATTTTGCTCATCATTGTTCAGTTTTTTACTGCAGGACCTAACCAGTATACCGAAGTATTTGGTAACATTCACTGTTGGCTATAACCAGCGAAAAATTATTGATGCTGCTGTGAAAAAAGTAAGGGAGAATTCCTTTATTGGGATTAAGACACAAATGACACAATACATTTATTTAAGTAATACAATCATTTTTTTTTCCTGAAAATAAGACCCATTCATATCTTAAAGAAGAACTATTAACTGCTTCAGTAATATTTTACCACAAAATATAGATACTGCCATATATTCATGTTTTACTCCTATTTGCGATAGTTTCTTAAAGGCAAATTCTTCTTCTCTGTTGTTCTCGCAGTTGGATCTTCTATCTTACCATGCATCTTTATGCTGCAGTTTTCAGGCAATTTTACCATTCTTTTATTTCACTATGATGGCCGAACAACCGAATGGAATGAGTTTGAGTGGTCTAAGAGGGCTATTCATGTAAGCGCTCACAAACAGACAAAATGGTAAGAAGTTTTGCACTATATGACACTATTTTTCCAAGCAATCACTGAATCAAATTATAATCACCATAACTTGAATTTAAGGTGGTACGCTAAGAGGTTTCTCCATCCTGACATTGTTGCCTCATATGAATATATATTTATCTGGGACGAAGACTTAGGAGTTGAGAATTTTAATGCTGAGGAGTAAGTCTGGTCACAAGTTTTGTTATTCGTGTCTAATTCTTACCCATGTCTAATTTGACTTTGTCACTTGCTTTCAGATATATTAAACTTGTTAGAAAACATGGACTTGAAATTTCACAGCCGGCATTAGAATCTAAGAAAGGTTCTGGAATAACTTGGCAGATGACAAGGAGAAAACGTGACGGTGAAGTCCACAAGTAAAAATCAGACCCAACCTTATTCGTAACACAGTCCTGTTTATAGTTTTGTTATTAAGGAGACTGAAATTATTTTTTAATGCATTCGCTTATAGCTTTTTTCGTCCAAATCTTTTTCCATTAGAGAAGCAGAAGAGAAACCAGGCCGGTGTTCTAACCCTCATCTGCCTCCATGTGCAGCGTATGAACAATTCTTTGCATTATGGTTCATGTTTTTAGTTTGAAATCGGTTGGTAAAAGTAAAAAACAGAAATTTACTAGACTATGATGTTAGATTTGTAGAGATAATGGCGCCTGTCTTCTCTCGCAAATCGTGGCGTTGTGTGTGGCATATGATTCAGGTTAGTTGGATCCCAAATTTTGCTAATATGGTTAGATCAAGTAAAAGAGAAAAATAATGACTTTTCTTCCTATTGTTATAGAATGATTTGGTTCATGGCTGGGGTCTCGATTTTGCCCTTCAAAAATGTGTCATGGTAAGTAATTCTCCCATGTGGTCACCTTTAACATCTAAGGCCCTATTTGGTGAATGTAATCAACCATGCAATGTGATGAGCATTTTCTTAATGTGTGTAGTTGGTCATTTTTCTTTCTTTTGGGTCGTACTACTAAATGCATAGCCTATTACTTTAAAGTTGTAATATGCTTCACAAAAAACTTACTCTATAAGGATTACACCCAAATCGGTCATACCAAACATGGAATGAGTGTTGAATTGGCGAATTATCCAGTGGGGTAAAAATATTCATCCTCCTTCGCAGCCTTCTCATGAGAAGATTGGCGTTGTTGACGCTCAACCTGTGGTTCATGGAAGGGTTCCTTCGCTTGGCAATGAGGTAAAAGCGTGAAGTTCTTATGACCTCGTACGAGGTTTTCTTACATATATTGGACTTCCTTAATCTCTCTTAACTTTACCATACATTCTTTATTAGGGAATACAAGAGAATGGGAAGCCTAAGTGGAAAGGGGTAAGTAATTGCTTCACTAGTTCACTCCCCCCCCCCCCCCAAAAAAAAAAAAATTGTAACCTATAGTGCAATGCATCCTCAACAAGGACAAAGTTGGCATGCACACTCTCCTTCCCACTTTAATTTTATGTCGCATTTAATTTCGGTCATCACCATGGATCATCCGATAACAGTCTCTCCCTGCTTTAGTACAGGGGTAAGACTTGTACATCCAAACCCAAGAGGAGCAGAAAGATTACCTCCAAATATCGTTGTGTCTGAGTCAGACTTCCTTCTCCGCAGGTTATGGGGTAAACCCAGTGAGGCAAGTCATTCTGTTAATACCACAACTTCATTTGCTTCCCCTTTCTTAAATGATTCTTAACTTAATAATAAGATTCATGCTTCAACCTTCAATGCATTTCGGTTTATGTATATTGGTTAATACTTATAAAAACTTGGGAAAATGGAAATTAATAATCCAACCTTTTAGCAGTCTTCTTACAATAGGCCCACCTTTTCGTTATTCAAGAACAATCCAACCTTTGCATCCCATCTTCATTCGCTGGTTTCTGACCGGTTAATGATCTGTTATTCCAAGTTATTTTCTTATTTTTGCAAAACATTATCTTTGTGAAAGGTGAGATTTATGGTATAATGGTTTGCAAAGATAAGAAAATAACTTGGAATAACAGGTCATCAACCGGTCAGAAACCAGTGAATGAAGATGAGGCGCAAAGGTTGGATTATTCATGAATAACGAAAAGGTGGAACTATTGTAAGAAGACCGCTAAAAGGTTGGATTATTAGTTTCCATTTTCCCTAAAAACTTTCTGCTTTTAAGTTGTGCAAGGAAAACATCTTTCTGATTTCAAGAATGTGCAAAGAAAACATGTCAATAGTTCCTGTAATATTTTGCTCATCATTGTTCAGTTTTTTACTGCAGGACCTAACCAGTATACCGAAGTATTTGGTAACATTCACTGTTGGCTATAACCAGCGAAAAATTATTGATGCTGCTGTGAAAAAAGTAAGGGAGAATTCCTTTATTGGGATTAAGACACAAATGACACAATACATTTATTTAAGTAATACAATCATTTTTTTTTCCTGAAAATAAGACTTGTACATCCGACCCCCCTCTTATCCCACCGTAAGTTGGAGCCTTTGCGGCTAATGATGATGATTTAATTTCGTTCGTCAAAGGTTTCAGCTTTGAGCAATAGTAATTTCATGCAAAGTGATTCATAATATGGAAGTTATATAAAGATGTTTTTCGTTAAGGTTACTACAATGAAAGTACACATTTTTTAACTTCTACTAAACATATACATCGTATTGTTTCAATTCAACGATCATGTTCTAAGCAGAAGGCCTGAGTATTAGAAGGGATGATTTGGTATTTTGTGATGCAATTTTGGGATTTGAGTGCAGGTGCACGAGAGATGCAATAGAGAGTGGGCAATGTTTTGGACTAGGCTAAAATATGCAGAGATGGAACACTACAGCTCCATTGGAGTTCAGCTTTCCAATCTCACTAATCATTAGTAGCCAGGGCTGAACATATAGCAATGTACAAAGTTATTGTAACAGTCCTGGTCCTCTTGCTGTTTCTTTCTTCTGTTATACACTTATATATACAATATACTAGCATTGCCACATACTTTCTTAAATAAAAACTTTTCTATTAGCCCTACAGTTTATGAGATTGACAAATGCAGCTGAAATACAATAATGGTACAATTGCCTTCATATATTTTCAAACCAAGTTTTGACGTTTGAGTGTCATGTTTCATGTTTTTCATCAAGTTGTTTATTTTTCATAAAATATTGAGGCGTAGTTGGTTGAGAATTTTTGGCTCTCAACAGAATACATGTTTCCGAGATCACTTTTCCAAATAATAAATACTCCGTAATAATTACATTGAATTGAAAAAAATGAGATTTTTATCATTGATAATTACTTTCATATTTATTTGTACCCAAACTATAAATATCTATCCAACTTGGACTTCTATTAACTTTTTACCTTACACTTTTATCTAGGGATGGACCCGGGCCGGGCCGGTTCCGGTTCCGGGCCGGGCCCGGGCGGGCTTTTTTTCGGGTTACATGGGCCCGGAACCGGCCCGGGTTGATACCGGGTCCGGGCCTAACCGGGCCGGGCCGGGCCGGGCCCGGTTCAATGTTTTTTTTTTTTTTTTTTTTTTTTTGACTTTCTTGTTATCTCCCTACCCCCCCCCCCTCACCCCCACGCCCCAAACCTCCCTAAAACACCCAGCCCTACCCTAGGAAAAGAAAAAAAATTGAAAAAACCAAAAAAAAAAAAAAAAAATGAACCGGGCCCGGCCCGAACCGCCCGGGCCGGTTCAACAAAAACAGGGCCCGGAACCGGCCCGCCCGACCCGCCAAAACGGGCTAAAAGCCCGGAACCGGCCAACCGGGCCCGGTCCGGTTCGGGCCCGCACAGTAGCGGGCCGGTCCGGTTCCGGGCCGGTTCGGCCCGGCCCAGTCCATCCCTACAGTTTTATCTATTTGGGTACAGATTTAGAGCAATGCTATTTATCTTACTTTTGGAAGGTTGTTACTTAAAAGAACTAGCTCTTTTTTAACTCTTGAAAAATCATATTTGGAAATAGTACACATGATTCTTCGAAATGGGACCCTTGTGGTACTTTTATAGGTTACGATAAGAACTCGAGTAAAACATTATGATCGCAAAAATAAGACAATATTTGGTTGAGGGACTGGCAATTTACTTTTTTCCTATAAAAGCAAGTGTACTATGAGTATGCTTTTAAAGTCATGCAATTTATCATGCAATTTATCGTTGTAATTTAAAGTGATGTAAATTGTAAAATTTGTACACAATTATAATCACCAAAAGTTGTTAAATCACATTTTTGTCCAAACTTTATTTTGGTTATATAAAGTACTACAGTACTACGCATTTCTTTGTATTCCAGGAGGTGATCTCATAGACTCATACCATTCATTTTATTATTCTATTAAAAAAGTAATTCCATAGAAAACATTTTCTATAGCATCCCCTCCCCCTAAATTTATTTTCTAGTGGGAATTACAAACTTGTAGGCAGAAACATGCAGTGCAGGAATGGTCATTCGTGCTCAGCATCATTTGCAGTTGAGTATGAATAAAGCAGATCCGTGTGCTTCTATGCTTATGGATAATGCTCTTCCAGATCCAAAGCTTTTTCCCGACCATAATTCTCTTCCCGAACATGTTTGGTTGCTTACACTTCTTCCGGGAAGTGCCCTTGCTATATCTCTTGATGTTGTTGAAATTACTGATGTTACATTATTCAGATTGAAGAAAGCGAGGTAGATTTCTCCTGGACAAGGAAAATCATACGTTGTATTATACACTTTTGTATAAGTTTATAATCACGAGTCTAGCGTTTGAGTTGGAAGTTTATATCTTAAATCACATTATAAACGAGGAACGTAACTCAATTCGACTGAGATTAGAAAACATAATGATTTCAATACCAGGTTGTTTCAATAAACAACGTAACCACCTTATGAAGTTATGAGGCGTACTCAATCACCTTAGGCCAAGGCCAAAATAAAGACACATACTAACATATAAGACCTTGTGCTACTTCTATTTGATTGTGACTCATACTCGAATTCATATATGTTGTTGAGCTCATGGGCGTAGCTGGGGGGGGGGGGGGCAACCTAGGCCCCAAAGTTCAACTTTAATTCAAAAGTTGTACCAAAATGGGTTGCAATTTATCGCTGCCTACACACTTGTTGAGCTAGTTTAAAATTACAAATGGGTTCACAAAACAAACCTTGCCTTCCACTAGCAATCCAAGAACGACTTCCTACCGGTATAGCTGTATGGAAAGAAAACAGCGCAATGTAAAAAATAATATACTCCATATTGGTTAAGTATGAAGACTGGATAGTACCGGGATCAGAAAGTCTCACCTTTGACAGAAACGAATGAAGCACATAGGCCGGAGTATTCACTTACAAGGGTCCCGTTGTGTTTCAATTCCCACATCTGTTTATAGTCAGGCAGTTCATACATCCATCCGTCCATCAATATAATAGTTATATCAACTCCCCATTTTATTGTACTACCTCCGTTCCATACAAAAGTTCTCACCTATTATTCTCCGGTTAACGTGTTAATCTTTTACTTTATAAATCCAACTTTTATCAAATTTGGTTTTTTTTGCGACTTCATAAAACTTTTAATGTAGTTTCTGAATATGTAAATTTTATTTACCAAAAATAATTTTATTACGGACAGGGATCATTTAACTTTATGGTCAGTCAAACATCATAAACCGTGTGGGAACCTTTATACGGGACGGATGGAGTAATATTTATAGTAATATAACCAAATAAAGATCAGACACTTATAATCACATAAAAAAAACTGATCAATCCGTCCCATATTGGTATGCCAAGTTTGACACGTATGAGAAGAATAAGGAACAAGGAAGTGAAAAGTAGGTGTTTAAGATTTTTGTGGTGGAAGGAGAAAAACATAAACCACCAAACTACTATGTATTTCTTTAAAGGGAAATTGAGAACTTTATTTGGGAAAGACATATTAGGAAAGTTGACAATCATTCTAGGGACTAGTATAAAAAGAGCAATGACATGACAATTTAATTATAAAAGAAATACTAAATAAAGATCAGATACTTATAATCACAATAAAAAAACTGATCAATCCGTCCCATATTGATATGCCAAGTCTGACACGTATGAGAAGAATAAGGAACAAGGAAGTGAAAAGTAGGTGTTTAAGATTTTTGTTGTGGAAGGAGAAAAACATAAACCACCAAACTACTATGTATTTCTTTAAAGGGAAATTGAGAACTTTATTTGGGAAAGACATATTAGGAAAGTTGACGTTCATTCTAGGGACGAGTATAAAAAGAGCAATGACATGACAATTTAATTATAAAAGAAATACTAAATAAAACATACACTACATTTATTTATGAATTAAGATGCTGGTGATGAGGATGCATAAATTTATCATGCATCTGAAAATTTAATTAAATTAAATAGACAAATAAGGTATGCACCTGGTTGGCTTCCCATCTACAGTCTGAGAATGAACCTTTGCTAACCTCTCCTGAACTAAGCTTCCGATTATGTGCTGCGGTAAGACACGACTCCGTAGTTTCTCTTTCCAGCAAATGCAGTTTTTCATGAATCTGTCTCTCGTTTCTCATTTCCTGATGTCTGTGTCAATATAGAAATAATGAGAGGCAGATAGAGAAAGAAACCGGATGAAGGAAAAAGTGTGATTCGGAGCTTACTGTTCAAATAGTGGCATTCTCTTGTAGAGACAAAATGATTCTTTCTGATGTTCGGATATGTTTCCTTTCCAACAAATTTGATCATCAAGGTGTTTTTTAGACCAACCTTTTGACCTTCCGTCCTTGCAGCTTTTCAGTGCCAAAATTTGGGCCTCAGAGTTATTCATATAGTGTGAGCCAGATATGTATGGAAACTGCATTGAGATTTTGGGGTATGTTTGAGTCCAGGAAAAGGTTACGGATACAGGAAAATAAAATCCTAACGACAGTTCTTTCTCTTATGTTCTTAGTTTAACTTGGAAAATGTAACGAAATACTAGGTCTCAATGGGATCCTTAGGTCAATGTCTCACATATGGTAAGTCTCAAATTTATGATAATTAAGTGAAGGAAATTAATTTTGACTTGCCTCTTTATTGTTCGAGCTAAACCAGTTTATTTCCAGTAAAGTAGGATTAGTAATGAGAGCAAATGTGTGGGCGCTAATCCTTCTCATGTCACCTCCGTACATGATAGGAGACTTAGCCATGGACCACAATGTCATCTGCAAAAAAATGAAAAATATCTTAAGTTGTATAAAAAACCTCTTTGTGTTACGGAAATATGGGACTCGTCTAAACTAAAAGTTTAAGCTTATACACAGGCTAAACATTTATTAGTCATAATATTATATCTTAATTTATAAGAATCATACCTACCTGTGTCTTTTGTTCAGTCTGAGTTAGATTGCAGTGCCGGTATGGACCTTCATTTGATCCTATGGTACATTCTCATAGTAATTAGTTGCCACAAAAGAAAAAAATGTGCATTTTTTACCTGTTAAATGTGAATATCAGGACTTTTTAGCAGTCAGTCAACGCGACAACAAAGTGCACATAGTTGCAACTTTTGATAAGTAACATAAGACTTTGTTCTTGTGTGTTTGGATTAAATATTTGTATTCATTTGATAAGAAATTCACTTCCATCATTTGCAATGGAGCCAAATATTCACTATTTTTTGGCTTGTGAATATGATGGAATAAAGCAAAATGGCTCACTAAATTGTCTGCGTTTTTTTGTTGTGAAGCAGCAGTCAGCTCACGCAATTTCCGACACGATTTTCACCATGGGTCATCCGGAAACAGTCTCTCTGTGCTTTAGTACAGGGTTAAGACTGCGTACATCCGACCCCCTACCCCACCCTAGGTGGGAGCCTTTGCGGCACTGGGGTGATGATGATGATGATGATGATTTGATAACAAAATCATTGATTGACATGATTCGGAATTCAGCAGAAAACAAACTTGACAGGAAAAAGCAGAAATACGATAGAAATTCCATGGAGAACTATACATTGTCGAAACTGCAATTTAGAAGGTTTATGATCCTCACCCGGATATGTGAGCCAACCAAAAGGCAACATATCTAAGTCAGGCCATGACTTGCCTTGGAGGCCCTTTGTTCCTATCAAATTAGCTGCTGCCAAGTCCCTAAAGCACATATACAATATGAGTAAGTAAGATGTGCTAGAAAAGCCAAACACAATTTATATGAACGCAAATTAACGGTTGCTCTACTAGCTTATTTGAGTGGGGATTTCTAAGAGGGGGTGGTATATGATTGATTTTTATTTTACTATTATATTTTATTTGCTAATTTTACACATGAATGAACTATATGATGTTTTATCTTTACTTCATTCTCAACCATTTCAATGTAGAACTACTTGAAAAAGGAAAATCACTGCTCCACTCTGAAATTGCACAACAAAACAAGCTCTAAAGGTACCTTTGCTCACATGGGCAAATGAGTATAAGTGTATAACACAGTTGAGCAAATAAGTGACGTGGACCAGTGATATGCACTCACCATTAGAAAAAGCAGAAATGTGAAATATCAAATAATCAAGGAGGAAGTATTTCAAAAGAAGATTTAGTAGTTTAGGTATAATATGGGATTTAGGTTCCAAAACCTTGCAATGTCAAAGTGTGAAGCAACATCTGGCCAGGTATCCCAGTCATCACCGGTAACCCTATACATGTTGACAAGGCTACTAACCTCCTTTGCCATTTCCGGTGTCACGTCAACTCCGGGAGACAGAGAGTATGTTATGGAACGATTAAGATCCTTCAATACCTGTAATATCTCAACTCCAGAGTTAATCTTCACTTCAATGTTTATGTAACAAAATTCATGACCTTAAAAATCGAAGTAATTATTGTAAAAATCGCCTCCGGACACTATACATTACTTGACCATAATTTTTTTGTTCTGAATTAAGGCACACCTAATTTCACTTAGCTTGTTTGGATGGCAGGTTTTGGAGTAGTTTGGAACTTTAGAGAACGTAGTCTTTAACTTGGTAAATAGAATGCTTATTATTAGAATAAATAAAAGGCAATCAAAATTTTTATAATCACTTATTATGGTAACTTTTCAATTTTAACAATATCTCAAATATACATGAAGATATAAATTCAGAAAAAAAATCTTCCCCATCCAAACAGAGCATTATATTTCACATTTTCACCTAATCCCAAGTAATCCCTGCCAAGCCTAGCGAATTTTCCAACATTGGTTTCCCTTTACCTACCTCCGAAACAATGGTTATCTCATCCAAGTCCAAATCAGTGCCAAAAACACAGTCATGTTTCACTGCAAAGAAAACACACACACTGCAAAGTAGTTACCACGAGTGAACCAATTCCTCTTCTTGCAAAAGTAAAACTATTAAATATCAACAGATTGCCTCACCGAAATCAACACCCCAATCAGCATACTGTTGATAGAGTGACCTAAGAAAAGCTCTTCCAGCTCCAGATTTAGTATTTACACTCATGAAGCCATTATTCATCCACGCACATGCCCTCTCCTTTATTCCTATATCACTTGCTTTCCACTCCCTGCCACCTTCTTCATATGTTTTCCCCTTTTGAATCAATGCAATAGAAATGAATTACACAAAGCCGCAAATTTAATAAGACAATAAGAGCAGTAACGTTTATATCATATTAAGTGTCCATTCAGGAGCCATGTTTTCGGCAAATCAACCTCTTTAGCCATATTTTTTACTACGTTTGGCTAATTGGCTACACATGCTGAATTTGGTAATAATTAAAACACAAAAAAGTAGGAGTTTAGTTGCTTTATAGCCAGAAGTTGCTGGAGATGATCATACTAATCTTTCTTCTAGATTGTTTAATTAATTTTATCAATACAATATGAAATAATGAAAAATATAATACTAGAATGGAAATATGGGACAAATTCTGAATTTTAATACGCAGTGACTATAGTGGTAATGCGGTATTTCTCATGAAGCAGCAGTGAGTCCATGCAATTTTTGACGGGATTTTCATCATGGGTCATCCGGGGTAAGGATGCGTACATTAGACTCTCCCTTACCCCACCGTAGGTGGCAGCCTTTGCGGCACTGGGGTAATTTTGTTGTTGTTGTTGTGACTATAATGGTACTTTTAAAGTGACTGTGGTTGACCATGGTGATGTGCTCTTTTACACTGCAGTGATCAGTGGTACTTTTCGCAGTGGTTGTAGTGACCAACTGAGAACTGACCATGGTGATGTACTCTTTTACACTGCAGTGATCATGGTGGCATTTTTGGAGCGACTAAGTAACATAGTTTTGTCCACGAATTCCATCTTCGAGCAATTTGAGCCAAACTGACCATTTACCAAACAGAATCAAAGAATTATTCTGGTAATGAGTAGTAAGAAGCAATACCATCTGGATATCCAAGATTGGGGTACTACTGTTGACTGCTTGGGTACTAACACCTCTCATGACATGGATCCCGAATTTCAAACCCAAGCTATGAACCTTAGCAGCAACTTCCGTAAACCCTCTACCACCAGCGGATGAAGGCCATCTACTTGGGTCTGGCTGCATCCTTCCCCACTCATCAATTACATCAAATCCAAGAGAATTAGTGTACGCACCGTCCACTTTCTTTCTATACCACAGATAGTCCACCACAACATACTGCAAATAAGGTGCACAAATAAGTTGAAATTAAAAATATCCAACTAAGTACATTATGTAGAAGAACAAAATTAGCACTTTTTCATTAAGGAAAGTGCTTTAAACTTTATAAAAGAAAAAATAAACAACTCCAATCCAGTTAAATCATGTTTACTTCAATAAAAGCATCAACATTTCGCCTTCGATGATTTGAGCATGACCAATATCAAACACTCATGGCTACTCAGGATGTTTTTACTTGGACTGTTTTCAGTCTCAGACCTTACCAGACCAAACCAGACATTTACCACACAAAAACAGACCAGTTCAGACCAGACTAGAAAATTTCAGTTCAAGTAAAAACATTCTCAATCTCTCCAAAGTATTGAATTCTAATTCAGACATTGATACTTAGAATCAAAATGAGAATCATTAGTTTGGTAAACACCCTCTTAGTACGTGAAGTATATTAATCTGCTTGATACCTCATAGCCATTGGGCTTTAACCGCTGAGCAACAAGTTCTGCATTCTGAAGGAATTGCTTCTCGGTGATGACCCAAGAAAATGAGTCATATGAATTCCAACCTCTTGGTGGTAATTTAGCAAGTTCAGTTTCATCATGGAGCCTAATTTCTGAATTTACCCTGAAATGATTCCCAAAAGAGTTAACTTTACAAAACTTGGCAATATAACAAAGCTTATGCAAATCATTTCGACCAAATAATATCAAGATATCAGATAGAGCAGATCACGATATATATTAAGTGCCAGTCTCCTAGAAATTTAGCAAAGCAGAGCATATATCAGCAAATTTTATTTCATTTTGGGATCAGAGTTATAAGAAATTGGAGTTTGCACGCGATTTTTCATCCAAAATTGAGCTTGCATCTTATTTCTAAACCAGTTAATATTTTCACCCCCAAACTTAGAAAAACCTGTTAATGATGTGGTGCAGACTCCAATTCAGAAGAAAAATGGGGTACAGAACAAACCACTTGTGGTCAATCTTTTTTTTTTTTACCACTTGTGGTCAATCTAAGTGAATATGATTCATCATGTGGCTATGCATATGAACACCAGCAAAGAATTCATAATTTGTATGAATCCAATCAACAAGCTACTGTAACCCAAGCTTTATAAACTCATCTATCAATAAGTCTTATTTGTCTTCATTCAATATGGAGTTCAACAAAATGCATTCCCTATGATAAAAAGAACAAAAAAACTTGAGCTTTCTACCGAATCATTCAATATGGAGTTCAACAAAATGCATTCCCTATGATAAAAAGAAAAAAAACTCGAGCTTTCTACCGAATCATTCAATATGGAGTTCAACAAAATGCATTCCCTATGATAAAAAGAAAAAAAAAACTCGAGCTTTCTACCGAATTAGAGCAAGAAAAGAAAAGAAAAAAATAAAGAAGAGGATGACCCAAATGACAAAATAATAATACAAAAAATAATTGAAATAAAAAACAAAGTTAGTACTCCGTATTAGTGTTGCATTATGACCCTTGTACTCAAACAGAACAGAGGTTGTCACTGTCCAGACCTCTGGAAATAAGTTAACATCAACAATAACAGTTTTATAAGCTGGAGAGTACCCATCAAGCTGAGAAAGACTAAGGAGGAGGAGGAAGAAACCGATGGAAAACAAAACGAGATCTTTCATGGCCAATTAGTAGAACGAAGGGTTAGTGGCGAGAGTATCTGAATTGAAGGATACTCCGTATCATATTACAGGGGATAATTTTTTTTATCAGTAGTTTCAATTACGGAATGGAAATTTCACCGTCTGAGCTGCGTGGTAAGATTGATTCATTTTCACTAAAAAGATAATGGAGTTCTTAAAATGATAAGCTAAGCTATTGGTTGTCGGCTTGTTTGGTGGGTAGATTCTTAAATGATGAGCTGTGAGCCTGTGAGCCTGTGAGTTGTTGAACTGTGATACCATTCGCCACAGTAATAAAGTCGTAGACTTTTGGAACACCCTCATATTGCTTCAAGGTGGTCCTATTAGTCCTATATTGTATCACGGGTTGTGTAGTCTACGGTCTATGGTACCTAATTCAACTGATAGAGAAGGAGTGACACAAGGGTTAAGTCCTGGATTCGAATCATGACAACTGCGATAAGAGATTATTATGCTAAAAATGCATAACGCTTCTGCAAGTACCGGGATGGAGCCTTACGGCCTGTTTGGATGAAGTGTTGGGAGGTGTTAGTAACAAAAGTGTTAATAAGTGTTAGCAGGGGCCCGGAAGGGAAGAGAAGTGTAAGTGTTACACATAATCTTACCTTGTTTGGGAGAGTTAAAAAAATGAAGTGTTAGTAATGGAAGTGTTTCCACTCAAATTGACAAAAATATCCTCATACGCTATTTAATGTTTACTACTCCGTATAAAATACTTGATGCTATTAATAATTGTAGGTGTTGCTCCACATTGACTTGAAATAATATTTTACGTAAAATGCTAAAAGTAAAATTAAAATGCTAAAAAATATTCTACATATAAATATTTTACGTATTAAAATTAAAGTGCTAAAAAATTAAATTACATTGCTAAAATTAAAATATTCTACGTATGGTATACTTCGTACATACATATTCTAAGTGCTAAAAAAATTATGGAGTTTTTTCCACTTTTAGTCCTCCGACTATTATGTCATTGACACTTTTGATACTCAACTTTGATTTTTTCCATTTTTAGTCCTCGACATTGCTCTAGAGACACTTTTGGTACCCTTCTTTGAAATTTTCCATATTTAGTCCTTCAACTTTCATAAAAATGACACTTTTGGTCCTTCAACTATTATAATATTGTCATTTTTAATCCTTCACTTATTGTGTCTAGATCATAATGGGAGGACTAAAAGTGTCAATTTGACATTATCGAGGGACTAAATGTGGAAGACCTTGAAGTTGAGGACTAAAATTGTCTTTAACAAAATAGTCGAAGACTAAAAATGGAAAAAATAAAAGTCGAGTACCAAAAGTGTCACTGACATAATAGTCGGGGGACCGAAAGTGGCAAAACTCAAAAATTATGGATCGACACTACACACAAACACTACATACACTTATTTTATGTATTGAGATACATTTATATATATAAAGGTTATTTCAATCAAAAGAAAAAAGAAATCAAGTTAAACTCAAGAATAGAAATATGGAACAATAATTAAAATATCAAAACCATAATAGATGAAAAATCACGGAAGCCCCTTAAACATCTGGAACTTGCAGGTCGGTTATCTTCTCAATTTTGCAACATGCAACTTTAAATATTTTAATTTTACATCAAATAATAAAAATTGGGATGTAAAAAGTCAACAATTGAGCGGCAGATCTAGTTTCATTAGGAAGCATAAACTACACAAATCCAGACGAAGGAGAACAAGAACATAGGTGAAGAAGTGGAACCGGCTCTCTCTCTGAAGAAGAATGGGAGGAACGTGGCTGTCTGCTGCAGAAGAAGAATAGGTAGGAACGTTGGTATAACAAGGGCAAAGGTTGTCCAACCCTTCATTACACTCCAATTTGGAGTGTTATAAAAGTGGCAAATAGAGGTGTTAGGAAGGTTATAATTAACACCCGTTAACACTTATTAACACTTCTACAAAAATTTGATTTTTCTCCCAAACAGGTGTTAAAGTAAACACTCCTTAACACTTCCATTACTAACACCCGCTAACACTCAATCCAAACAGGCCATAATGGATGGGGTGTCATCCTTTTTTACAGACTACTACGGTGTATAACACTATTGTAACTACTGGGATTTTTATAATTTTAGCAACAATCACGATTTCTGTTAATTGAGCATTAAACATATTCTTTTGAGTATCAAAATCTTATACTAGTATTAAGTACTGTTAGTTCAGCATTAAACATATTTTGTTGAGTATAAACAATCATATCTTCTAATATACTTTTTGTTCTTTTATAAAATCTACTACATATTAAACTATATCTATAATCAATTATTGTGAATTTCAACACACGAATCTATTTTTTAAATATGCAATAATATAAAAATGAAAGTTCTGCTAGTTGAGTATCAAGATATTTTTATTGAGTATCAAGCATTCTCTCTTTTGCATTTTTTTATCGTCGCATTCTCTCTTTTGCATTAAAAACCCGCAATTGAATATAGTGATTTATGTCACCATATCTATAGTAAACTCATATGAATTCTAATATTTGACTCTAATGTACTTCCTCCGTTCTTTTTTAGTTGCAACGGTCAACATTTCACACTTGCCAACGCACATCTTTGACCGTAATTATTTCTTAATCCCTATTAGCAAAAAAATATTAAAAAAATTAGATTTTGAAAATTTGTAATGAGATGAATTGAACAATATAATTTTAAAAAAAATAATTTTCATAAAATAATAATATAAACTGTAGTCAAAGTAGAACATGTGAATAGTGTAAAATTCAACATGTTGCGATTAAAAAGAGACGGAGGATAGTAATACGATAATATTAAACTTTTGAAATATGCATTGATATGACATTTCAAAATGAACATAACACCATTACCAAATGAGCATACATAATTTAAAAAATGAGCATCGAAAAATTCAAAAGCTATTTGAATCTCTAATGTGGTCAAATCATCTATGTATTCTTGACTTAGAAAATATTGTGTGTTTTTTCAATGTCACTCACACACATTTATTTTTAACAATATACTCATTTTAGTGTAGCATAAAACTCATTTAATAGTCTCCACATAATAGTGCTTAGTACTTTTAAACTTTATACACGTTTAAGTATACTATAAAACGTATTTTCAATCAATAATACACATAATAACTCACTACAAATAAACTTATTCATTTCAGCACCCATTTAAACATATTATCACTCCATTGTCATGGATCTAAAACATTTGTTGTATTGATTTTTTTTATATAAATGCTCATTACTTTTAAACTGTTACTCATTTGGGCATAACACTGCCATAACTTAACACTATTTTAATATTTACACGTAAATAACACATTACACTTTGCAATTAATATAGTTTGTTATGCTTGCTGATAAATTATATAAAAATTGTCAAGAAAGCATATCTCAAAAATTTTACAAAATCTATAAACATTAAATTAAAAAACAAAAAACATCTTAAGTTTGTCAAAAGTTCATAATTAGGAAAGAAACTTAATATATATTCCAAACAAAACTATTATACAGAACAAATCAAACATATGTCAACATTGTATATTTCTATACAAGCGCACAAACAATAAAATATTTCATCAAGAAAAGAATGGACATTCACTTTCGTATTGTTTCAAACACTTGATGAAAGAGGCATAGTTATTTGAATGATTTTTTCATCTTCTTTGATTTATTTTTAAATTCGTAGGTGTTAATTTTAGATACTCCGATCCATATAAATCAATATGTTTGTTGATATAAAAGAAAAAAGAAGAAGAAAAGGAGAAGAAGTAAGAGGATCCATGGGCAGTTACGTTGGGAACCTCCAAGAAATCGACGCGGACGACTTATTAAAAGGAAGAAGAAAGCAAGCTCTAACTGTTGTCATTCAAGTTGCAATTTACTACAAACGTACTCGGCTGACGGATGTACAGTGAACACTATACACTATTGTCATTCAAATTGCAATTTTCTACTCTTATGCATGTATGCTTTGTTGTAATATGTTTTTTCAGCAGTTTGTTATTGGGTATCTCAAAAAAATTGCATAAATAAATAATTAATAATTTATTAAATAAACGAGAACCCCGTACAAAATTGAAGAGGATTGTGCCCAGCCCAATATATGCTTGTTGTCTCGTTAACACAAATTTGCTCGCTAGCAACTGTCTTCCAGGATATAACGGTTTTTCGTTGCCAATGGACTACAGCGAACCAAAAGATGCACTAACAGTGGAGTATTGGATGAAGAGGAAGAAGAAAACTTTGTTTTAATTTTTAGACTTGTTGCTTGTATGTAAAATCAAGAACCGATTGGGATATATATAGAACTCTGGGCCGGAGACTAATCCCAAAAGGCACCTGTCTAGAGAAAGGTGACAACTTTTCTCCTAAGTGTTGCCTTATCCGAAAATAATCGTACAAAAAAATAATTTTTAAATCTTAAAGCTGCGCGGGTACCCACCCACACCCGAAGCCCGCACACCCCTGTCCTGTCAGGCAGACAGTGGTGCACATGAACCGTGATTTCACGCCCATAGTGTGCGGGTCTTCCCTCCTTACAAAACTTTGATGCCACTTGGGGCCCAATCCAATATCAATATTTAGCTTATAAAAGTCTTCGATATTGCTTAGGATTTTCGGTGTGGGACAAGTTCTATACACACCTTTCTTCGGAGATAACTTCGTGCGACAATTTCTCATTCATTTCAAAATGGATTTCTACAAATAATATATCGAAACATTCACCTCTCAAAGTACAATATGTTAAGGCTTGGTCATATTAATTATGAGAAGTGCGTCCTTACATATTTTAGCTCCAAAGTGAGCAAAATAATAATTTCTAAACCCTTTTTTCCAACACAGTTTAATCATGTGTATGGATTACTCACTTTTTGTACCATACTTGTTCAACACTTCCTGCACATTATGCATTGGTTTTTTCCCATTTTGTGTCACATTTCATTTGGGCATGTTATGTGTGAAGGTAATTGGCCGGCCCATTATTTGACAAATTATAATTGTGACCCTTTTACATTGTTATACTAATATTTCATCTCTTCCTCCTTTAGTTAAAAGTAGAGATGGCAATTGTGACCGATCCAATGGATACCCGAACTGAACCGCCCCGGTCAAAACGGGGAAAACCACATTGACCGGGTAACGGGTATGGGGCGGGGAATACCCGTTTTGTTTTTACGGGTAACGGGGCGGTTACGGTTTTATACATGCCCGCCCCATTACCCGCCCCGTACCCGCCCCGTTTATTTTAGTT